AGGTGGCTTGGTAGACGTGAGGTTGCTATCCCTGATTGCTGGTTTATTGGCTTGAAGCGCACGGTATGGGACGGGTTCCATGCCGCATCTGCACTACTGGCTGAGCTGGGGTCCTCTTGGGCGCTGTTTTATGGCACTTTCATTCTTCTTTGGAGATACCCCTCCATGTTTCCCCCCTCTTTTCTTTTTTTCTTTTTCCAAAAAACAAAACATGGAGCCCCAAATCCATGAAACTGCTCCTTCTGGGCCTCTCTGTAGCAGCACCCACTTACAACCCTGCCTTGTTACCGGATCATCCATAGTTCCTGACTATGGAACTGAATTTCTCCAGGCCGAGGGACTGACAACCTCAAATTCTACGACTTTAAGGGTGATGGACTGATTACATCGTCTTCACATCTCTACTGTTCCTGCCTACTTTCTGTATTCGACTGAAGAAGCCTACTGTGTAGGCGAAACGTTTCGGAATAAAGTTGTCTAACTGTTGCATATGTGTCTTACCTAACAGCCTGTCGGTATTGTATACCATTTTGATGTTCATCTTTTCTGTACTCGACTGAAGAAGCCTACTGTGTAGGCGAAACGTTTCGAAATAAAGATACCTAACTGTTGCATACGTGTCTCACCTAACACTCAGTTATTGCCATCTATTTTGATCTTGAGAAGGCACATGACACAACTATAACTTTGCTATAGCTTGTGCAGAAGCTGGCTGTTGCCTCATTGCAGTTTCTCTCCAACATGCGGTCAACTGTGTTTCCAATTGGGCCACTGCTCATGGGTTTAAGTTTTCTACTACTAAAACTCACCTAATTACTTTTGCTATACGTTCTATCATCCTTGATAATCCAGTGTACCTGTATGGTTCACGTATCCCAGATTGTGATACTGTCATGTTTCTCGGCCTTCTGTTTGACCGTTGGTCATCCTGGAAACCTCATATTACCTCCTTGAAGGCAACTTGTCATACCCGGCTGAACTTCCTTAAAATCCTCGCTCATCTTTCATGGGGCTGATCCTAGAACTCTCCTTCACCTGCATTCTGCCCTAATTTTATCGAAACTAGATTATGGTGACCAGATATATTCAGCAGCCTCTCCTACAACTCTTTCTAGCCTTGATCCCATCCATCACCAGGGATTATGTTTATGCCTTGGGGCTTTTCGCTCTTTACCTCGTGAGAGCTTCTATGCAGAGACGAATTTTCTATCCTTGACCGATCACGGTGATGCTCATGGCCTCTGCTATTTTGTTCGCTCTCATGACCTGTGCAATCCTTCCATACATAGTATGGTAACGGATGTTAGTAGAACTTCCTTATTTGTCCCCTTTATCTTCATCAACATTCACTTTTGTCTTCTCATCAGTTGCAACCTTTCAATGTTCACGTAGCATCTAACTTTTCCCTTCTCCATAGGGAAGGTCCGACGGTTCGTATCTGTTCTTCCCCACTGTCATGCGCGAAATCCCAAATACCTACGGTTGCTTCTTGCTTTCTTTTTCTTAATCACTTCCAGTCTCATTCTCATGCCATCGAAGTATACACCGATTGTTCCAAGTCTTCTGACGGTTCTGGATTTGCAGCAGTGTTTCCAAACAGCGTCGTACGGGGGCATTTATTAGCCTCGGCTAGTATTTTTACAGCTGAATTGTATGCCATTCTCGTAGCACTTATACGTTTTGCATCTATGCCTGTGTCACAATTCATGGTCGTTTCAGACTCCCTTAGTGCTTTGCAGGTTATACGAAAATTTGATTAACCTCATCCCCTGGATCTTCGTATCCAACTTTGGTTATGCCGTATCTGTAGCAAGCATAAAGATATTGTTTTTTGTTGGGTCCCTGGTCATGTTGATGTACAGGGCAATGAACAGGCAGACACTGCTGCGCGGTCAGCAGTACATGACCTCCCAGTTTCATATTGAAGTGTTCCATTCATGGACTATTGTGCTGTGATTTCTACCCACCTTTGCAACCGTTGGCAACAACGTTGGTCTTATCTGCTATATAACAAATTGCACTCTACTAAACCAAGTATAGGTTTCTGGTCGTCTTCTTGTCATCATTATCAAGGTTGGGAGACTGCTCTCTCTCCTGTCTTCTCATCGGGTATCTCATGGAGGGGCACCCTGTCCCACTCTGTAAGAATTGTCAGGTTCGAGTTTCTGTTAGCCATATTCTGTTGGACTTCCCTCTGTCAACGAGCACGCAGAATTTACCTCCCACGTCATCTGTTTTAATGCTGCAAATATTATTCGAGAGGCTGCGGACCTTTCGATATTGTTTTGCTTTCATACTGACTTCCTTAAATCTGTTCCTTAAGTTAGACATAAAAAATATTCGACATGACTTTGAAAATCTGAATTATTCATTAAATATAAAGTCCTTTGGATCTAGACACATGCATCTTACTTCGCTTTGCACTTGCTGTCTGCGGCTGTAATGCGACTCTCCTGTTTTAATGACGTTGTTTTGATTACGCTGAAAACCAATTCTCTTTGCAAGAAGCTGGCAGAAGCATTCTGCCGAATAGCATCCACAGATGAGGTCACTTCATGTACAATGGTACCTCAGGTGAAGGACTGGATGCACTCTGTTACCAGAGAATCTGTGAGAAAGTTTTAGTAAAGCTACTTTTCAGTGCAGGTTTACACTCTGCCAATAACAGCTGCAGTAGCAGCAGCACGATACCACAGCGCCTGTCCTTATTTTCAAGTTCACCAGTGGATTTACATGTTAGTTGACTGTTGTGAGTCGCATCTTGGGGGACAAGACTGAAGGACTCCAAAAGAAATAAGACAGTCCTCAATAACGCACTGACTTTCTTCTGTTTTCCTTGGTGGCTAATCCTCTCTCGGGTTAAAAATCCGAAGAAATTTTATGCTCTTTAATCCATAAAATTATGAATGTATATTGATCAATGATTTACTTGCAATACAAACAGATTTAACTCCAACATGAGAACCTCGACTGGTGATCAGCCGCATCTGTAAGACTGTGAGACGAACCTATGCGCCAATAAGATTATGATCTGGAATGTTCATTGCGAGAGCTAGTTGTACAAACTCATCCTTACTTCCCATGAACCCCATAAATTAGTGTCACATGTTATGTGTGGTAAAAAGGAATTTCTTTACGGATATTCGTTTTCTATGACTAACGTAGCTATCCGTTGTTCGGCATTAACTTTAACATTTGTTCCAAATGCATGGCAACATCCTGGTTATAGAACTGTTTTAAGAGAATAAGAATCACATCCCATCCTACGACTTTCCCTTCCACTATACCTCTAAGTTCACCAGGGATTATTACTGAACTTTATTCGATTAAACTTTCCACACTGGAAATGAGTTATCACGAATATCTCACAGATAATAATGTATAAAATATTGTACTCTTGAGGTAATGTTGTATTCAGATTTAGTGGACTGTCTGTCGTGCATTTACATAGAATTATGGAGTCAATAATTTTTTAAGTAAAAGGACTAAATATGAAGTTGTTCAGACACCTTGTGGAGAGACATCGACACCATGCCTAACCCTTCTAGGGTAGGGTAGGTGCCTGAGCCCGAGCCTTTAGCTCATAAGACTGTCATTCCCATTAGCCCCCCTTGGGGCGGGGATGGTAGACCAGAGAGGCCTAGCTTGTGGCTAGGCCTGGGGACAGTTGGTCCCAAAGATGAGGAGGTACTTGTGCCTCCTCCCATGGAAGACTTAGGTCTCAGACACTCCCTAAAGAGGGAACCAAGGCCGGGCCACCACTTGGAAAAGGCCCGGGCCGGGAGAATACCGGAGAATCTTTAATAATAATAATAACCTTGTGGAGAAGACGCCACTTCCCCGAGCCCTCCTGGGGCGGGGATGCTGCCTGAGCCAGAGTTTGTTATCACCTGCAGATCACAAGACTGCCACTCCCACGAGCACCCATGAGGCAGGGAAGATGGCAGACCAGAGGCCTAGCTTCTCCCTACGATCCCCGTGAGGGCGGGGAATGGAGCTAGGCCTGGGAACAGTTGGTCCCGAAGCTGAGGAGGTACTTGTACCTCCTCCCATGGGAGACAGGTCTCAGACACTCCCAAGACAGGGAGCCAAGGCCGGGACACCATCTGGAAAAGACCGGGGCCGGGAGAGTCCCAGCGAATCCAGAACAACAACAGCCTTATGGAGAATTATTAAATGGTTATAACTATGACCATAATTTTTATAGAGGTGAACCGGTATGCCAGCGGAATTCCTCGGTGAGATCACCAAAACCTCCAATGGCAGGTTATCATCTGACTAAGACCCACGTCAGGAAACACTTTTCCTGACGAACCTTACCTAACCTTATGGAAAGAGTCCATAGCTTTGTGATGAGGAGGTGCGGGGGTTAACAAAAATATTATCTAGATGTCGGAAGAGAGGTTGAGATGGTTTGGACATTGAGAGAGGATGGAGTAAAGTAGGATCATTTGGAGGTTGTGTAAATATGTAGTGGAAGGAAGGCGAGATAGAGGTCGCCCTAGGATTATACGGAGGGAGGGGGTAAAAAGTTTTGCATGTGAGGAGCTTGGACATCGATAGCCATGCGTGAGCATGTTAGACAGGAGTGGAGGCAAATGGCTTTCAGGACTTGACGAGCTGTGGTAAACGGCCATTGTATCAATCTTTCTCTCTCCCCCTCTCTCTCCCTCTCTCCCTCCCTCTCTCTCCCTCTCTCCCTCCCCCTCTCTCTCTCTCCCTCTCTCTCTCTCCCTCTCTGTCTCTCCCTCTCTCTGTCTCTCTGTCTTTCCCTCTTTTTCTCTCCCCTCCCCTCTCTCTCTCTCTTATGCCAGATCTTCAATCACAGATTGAAGTGAAAATATTGAAAATATGAATGGATGGGAAACAGAAAAGGGTAAAATATTTGTCAAACATCTGAAGGAATTTCTGTGAGGATACAAAACATCATTCGGTACGTCAAGTGATAGATCCTGGCAACATCTACTGTGTCTACCATATCTACTCACTGTGTACCAAATCTACTCACAATGTTGACCACTGTTGTAGCCACAGATTATGGGGACACTGGACATGCCACCAGTCACCATCAGGAAGTCATACACACATACACCGTTGTCATCTGGCTGACTGATATTAAGATTGATTAAATCGAACCTCATCTGACAGATGTTATCGTCAACATGGTTGATGGTCAGTGTGCAGGCCCCTATATAAGTGTCCTGGGTGCTTGGGTTGATGAAATGTGTGTTGTTGAAGTTGGTTGACTCTTCACACGTCCCGGTGACTGGTAGGGAAGAGAAGAACAGAAGATTAACTTTGCAGTGTTAAGGTTTATTATTATTATTATTATTATTATAATCAAAAATAAGCGCTAAGCCACAAGGACTATACAGCGCTGCAGGGCAGGAAGGAAGCGAGGGCATGTTAAGGTTTATTAAATCTTTTGTAATAGTGTAGAGACATGGTTATTCTTTACTATCCAGCATTGGTAGAGTGGGGGAAAAAAGTTCCCGGACACTCCTGGACAGAAATAATATCTGGCAACTTAGACGTGATAAACAGAGTGAAGACTATTTTCAAGAACAAATTAACACAGCTTGTAAAGTCGATGGTGGTTGGTTGACAAAATTGCCAGTACTTTTTATTTATATAAGAGTAGATTTATTAATGCAGATATGAATTAATTACCATTCGGGTATTACATCCAATATTTTAAAACCTTAAAAATTATTTGAAAAGATGACTGAATAAATTGAAGGAAATTGTATGGGAAATATTACTATCATATATCAGTCATATCTATTCAGGTGAAGCATAATTTGTATGTTAGGTTAATAGACAAAGATGCAGTTAATGTGACATTTTATTGTGGTGACGTTTCGCTCTCCAGGTCGGACCGAAACATTGTGGGTTATTTGTATGCTGAGACTAAGGCTGCTATATAGAGCTCGCACTATAGCAGTCCTTGGTACTGAGATGTCTATTTTCCACAAGAATCGACATTATGTTACAATATTTTGTAGACTGATAATGAGCCTCGTTAATCTTCCACGACCACCTCCTAACAGGTGTTCCTGCGCCACTATGAGTTGTGGCGTCCTGCTGACCCAGGAGTATATTCATCATGTTTGGCTTTAGCCATTTTCACTGACTTTTGCTCTTTCCCTTTGGCTTTAGACATTCCCCTCCCCCCCAGCTTTTGCCATCTCACATTGCTTTAACCATATCCCCGGCTTCAGCCATCTCCCCCGGCTTTAGCCAGGGGAGAAAATTTCCCCTCATTCCACGTGTTCCAGTCTTGCTACATTGAATAGCTCCTGATGATGCAAGAAGAAGTTTGAAAGATCTTGAGCTGAAGATTTCCATCTCTCCCTGGCTTGTCTTGTATATGTTATGTATGACAATTGTTCTTCAGTGGACCTGTATCTAAATAAACTTACTTAATCCGTTCAGGCTAACTTTTGTCAGTGTATATAACTGACCTGTAGTAACCTCACTCTAACACTGCCACTGTTATTAAGTCAGGTTTAAATTATAAACTTGTATTTTAGACTTTTTCGCTTACTTTCCTGTTGGCTCTCTGTATCTAGGCTGACATCAGTTGTGTCTGGATGTTGAAGTTGTTGATGTCCTTGTTGATGATGAGTTGATGGACCAGGTAGATCACTACCCACTATGCCACCCATCATCACAGCCGCCACCCACACATACCCAACCTTGCTGCTCTTCAACACCTGCCAGGGTTGGAAACAAATAGGAAATTATTAATTCACACACACACACACGCACACACAATCCGAGTCTCGACCCCTGTAACCACAATTAAGTTAATTAGGCGAGTACACAAAATAGTGGTAAAAACTGGGTATGGAGAACTACAAGAGTTTCAGTGACCCTGAAGTTGTGTGTTATCTATTAGTGTCACTGGGAATTACAAGTATGTTGTGAAAAGAGACACCTGAGCAAACACTTTAAATATTTTGTTATGAAAATGTTTCTGTCTTAGGAACTTGTTCACTCTGATTTTATAAGAGTATGAGAAACATAGGTTTGTATAATTAATGGGTCGTCAGGATGGATAAGACCCGTGTCAGGAGGCACTTGCCTTATTTTCTGACGGACAAAATAACAGATGCTTATACTTTATAATAATAATAATCATAATAATAATAATAATAATAATAATAATAATAATTATTATTATTATGACCAAAACCCGTCGTCGAATATTTAGCTCCGTGTCTGGACTATTCTGAAGTATATTATTACTTAATGAAAGTACATATGATCAGTAATGCTGAACAATAGCGAGATCAAGAAGGTTATGCTGAATCGTAGAGGTGCAGAGGGTCAACCAATGGTGAATTTTAGTGAGGTCCTCTCACCTCACGAAGCAGGTAGGATAAGCCCTATTTGAAACGAATGTTTTAATATCTCTCAAATGTTAACATATTTTTCCTTACCACTCTCATTCCAACAACTGTGTGTCTTTCCTGAGATATTAATCCTCTTATACCCATTGTGTGTCAGTATGGCAGTTATGTTTTAGCTTCCTGCATTTGGTATGACTTTATATGTCATGTATAATGAATGAAGCTGGACTTCATTCAATTTCGATGTCACTGTGTAATACACAAACAATACTCTAATCATTCCTCTCACAAGCATATGTATGTCGATCCCGACAGGTACATTTCTACCAGCCTCTCCCACTAAAATACTGACAAGGTATATACATACACTAATGCATTATAATGGTATCCTTTATTGACAACGTTACGCCCACACAGTGAGCTTTATCAAGTCACAAACAGATCTGTTTGTGACTAGATAATACCCACTGTGCGAATCGTTGCAGTTAAAGAATCGCATTATGTAACCGTTGTGCTCTTATGTACAAGCAGTAGATACTGGTGACATGACACTGGGTCGATGGACATGATGACAATATTGGCCACACTGATGTGTTGACCATATCACACGTGAGTTTTTAATTAAGGAGATAATATTGAAGATACCCTTTGCTCCTCGCCTGCAGATGTAAAAGAAAAAAAATGTTAAGAAATAAACATATCTAAATGTATGTAGGATGAAGGAGCATTCTCCCTCGAGGTAAACAGGAACGGGAATGAAGAATGTTAAGAATCCAGTCACTACTCTCGCCTGTTCATGTATCAAGAGCACAGCGAGTCATCCTTCTTAGTAGACTCAGTGTAAACTTTCCAAGAGAAGGTATCTATGACCAACTCTCATTCTTAGAATGGAAGTTGATCATAGAGTTGTGGATGAGTGGCCAGTGGGCCTGCAACAGTGCTCCTTCTTTCTCGTGTTCTAAAGCAAATGTGGTTGCAGACTCAGTCCCGTTGCTTTAAGATAATTTTAAATGTTGAGCCATCTTGGATCTAATGCCAGGATATTACAGATTCACTGTAAACCTCATATAGTACTTGAAATCCTGATATGGAACTCCTTTGTCTCTCCGTACTCCATGAAGCTATTGGATAACATGACGTTAAAGGCTATGACATGCCGAAGCACCGGTTGTAGCAGCTGTTGTCGCACTTTTAGTCGAAATTCACTCATGATTTAACGAAATCGATAAAATTATGTCTAGGTACAGGAAGAATAAGAAAGAAACAATACCATGGCTGGAACAATTCACTAAAACTCGGTCTTTAGATCGGAACCTATCCCACTATCTTTATACATTCTTTACTTTCCTCACCTGAGTTGCGGCTTGACAATAATCCAGAATGAAAAGTCGTCATAAGATTCCTTTAGCAAGTGCAGGTTTTTGGTGAAAAAGTTTACCAAGGTTCGTGTTGTCGGTGATCTCCCGTCAGAGCATTTCAGTGGCAACAGTAGAAGAGACGTTGATGAATAGAGACATTTCGTCGAAAGAAACCGTATGAATTCTGCCATTTACGTCAGAGGTGCGAGACAGGCGATTTGCTAAATGCATCGAGTATGCGGGGCTTCATATTTACCATGAAATGTAATTGTAGCAGAAGTTTCGACTAAAAGTATGATAACTTACGTATTATAACTAATAATAACTGAAAAAGTCACAATATCGCGTATGAATGTTAGTCCTGGCTTCGTCCTTGTAGATGCCTTCCTTTCCCGCTACATTGTAAAATGCTCCGAACTTCAGAACACGTATGAATTAACCTGGTTCCTTTTTCTTCTTCTCCCTCTTCTCCTTTCCTCTTTCTCCTTTGGGTTGTCTTTCTTCTTTCTTTCTCCCCCCTCTGTGTTCTTGTTCTTACCCTCTGTGAGCACGTAGCTCCCTTACAGTGCTCCTCTTCCTCAGTACAGTGGAACCTCTACTTGCGAACGTGTCCACGTGCGAGTTTTTCCAAATAGGAGCAGTCGATGGGTCGATTTTTTGCTTCCATACGCGAGCAAAATTTGACTGGCTTCTCCACCATACCAACTCCCCCACTACTACCTTCTAACTCCACTACTACCACTACCACCTCCTGGCCTATATATACTCCCTCCTCTCCTTTTTCGTTATTATGACTTTGTAAATGGTCCAAGTCGGTCCGAAATGTCGTCGTAAGCTCCTCTCTATGTGCGAGTAATTTGTGTATAACTAAAAAATGTTGTCGGAAAATGGCTCTAACTTCCCTGAAATATCGAAATGTTTGCAATGTAAAAAATTCGGCATTAGTTATACCACAGGTGGAAGTACGGAGAAGAATATCCAGTTTGTGGATCTTTGGAAAATTAAAAAAAAAAAACACCAGGGCACTGGACTGAGAGCTTTCTGCAGGAATGTTTTGGTATTATCTCGTAGTGGACCCAGTAAAGGCAGGTGGTGCTGGTATCATTCTCACTGTAACCACTTGTGATGGGAAACGCCATTTGTGAGTGACTGTGTTACACTTTTGAGTGAAGGTGTTACACTTGTGAGTGAAGGTGTTACACTTGTGAGTGAAGGTGTTACACTTGTGAGTGAAGGAGTTACACTTGTGAGTGAAAGAGTTACACTTGTGAGTGAAAGAGTTACACTTGAGAGTGAATGTGTTACACTTGTGAGTGAAGGAGTTACACTTGTGAGTGAAGGTGTTACACTTGTGAATGAAGGTGTTACACTTGTGAGTGAAGGTGTTACACTTGTGAGTGAAGGTGTTACACTTGTGAGTGAAGGTGTTACACTTGTGAGTGAAGGTGTTACACTTGTGAGTGAAGGTGTTACACTTGTGAGTGAAGGAATATTGCTGCACACTAACAGCACCTTTCAAGGCAGGTGAAATTGCCGACCTAGAAAATGTACAGAGAACTTTCACGGCGCGCATAACGGAGATAAAACACCTCAATTATTGGGATCGCTTGAGGTTCCTAAACCTGTACTCCCTGGAACGCAGGAGGGAGAGATACATGATTATATACACCTGGAAAATCCTAGAGGGACTAGTACCGAACTTGCACACGAAAATCACTCACTACGAAAGCAAAAGACTTGGCAGACGATGCACCATCCCCCCAATGAAAAGCAGGGGTGTCACTAGCACGTTAAGAGACCATACAATAAGTGTCAGGGGCCCGAGACTGTTCAACATGCCTCCCAGCACACATAAGGGGGATTACCAACAGACCCCTGGCAGTCTTCAAGCTGGCACTGGACAAGCACCTAAAGTGAGTTCCGGATCAGCCGGGCTGTGGCTCGTACGTTGGTTTGCGTGCCGCCAGCAGCAACAGCCTGGTTGATCAGGCTCTGATCCACCAGGAGCCTGGTCACAGACCGGGCCGCGGGGGCGTTGACCCCCGGAACTCTCTCCAGGTAAACTCCAGGAAGGTGTTACACTTGTGAGTGAAGGTGTTACACTTGTGAGTGAAGGTGTTACACTTGTGAGTGAAGGAGTTGCACTTGTGAGTGAAGGAGTTACACTTGTGAGTGAAGGAGTTGCACTTGTGAGTGAAGGAGTTACACTTGTGAGTGAAGGAGTTACACTTGTGAGTGAAGGTGTTACACTTGTGAGTGAAGGAGTTACGCTTGTGAGTGAAGGAGTTGCACTTGTGAGTGAAGGAGTTACGCTTGTGAGTGAAGGTGTTACACTTGTGAGTGAATGTGTTACACTTGTGAGTAAAGGAGTTGCACTTGTGAGTGAAGGAGTTACGCTTGTGAGTGAAGGTGTTACACTTGTGAGTGAATGTGTTACACTTGTGAGTGACAGTGTTACACTTGTGAGCGATGGTGTTACAATTGTGAGTGAAGGTGTTACACTTCTGAGTGACAGTGTTACACTTGTGAGCGATGGTGTTACAATTGTGAGTGAAGGTGTTATACTTGTGAGCGATGGAGTTACAATTGTGAGTAAAGGAGTTGCACTTGTGAGTGAAGGTGTTACGCTTGTGAGTGAATGAGTTGCACTTGTGAGTGAAGGTGTTACACTTGTGAGTGAGGGTGTTACACTTGCGAGTGAAGGTATTACACTTGTGAGTGACGGTGTTACACTTGTGAGTAAAAGAGATACAGTTGTGAGTGAAGGAGTTACGCTTGTGAGTGAAGAGTTACACTTGTGAGTGAAGGTGTTACACTTGTGAGAGAAGGTGTTACACTTGTGAGTGACGGTGTTACACTTGTGAGTGAAGGTGTTACACTTGTGAGTGACGGTGTTACACTTGTGAGTGAAGGTGTTACACTTGTGGGTGAAGGTGTTACACTTGTGGGTGAAGGTGTTACACTTGTGGGTGAAGGTGTTACACTTGTGGGTGAAGGTGTTTCACTTGCGAGTGAAGGTGTTATACTTGCGAGTGAAGGTGTTACACTAGTGAGCTCAGGTGTTACACTGGTGAGTGAAGGTGTTACACTAGTGAGTGCAGGTGTTACACTGGTGAGTGAAGGTGTTACGCTTGTGAGTGAAGGTGTTACGCTTGTGAGTGAATGTGTTGCACTTGTGAGTGAAATTGTTGCACTTGTGAGTGAAATTGTTGCACTTGAGAATGAGAGTGTTACCTTTGAGTGAAAGCGTTTCACTTGCGAGTGAAGGTGTTATACTTGCGAGTGAAGGTGTTACACTAGTGAGTGCAGGTGTTACACTGGTGAGTGAAGATGTTACACTAGTGAGTGCAGGTGTTACACTGGTGAGTGAAGATGTTACACTAGTGAGTGCAGGTGTTACGCTGGTGAGTGAAGGTGTTACACTAGTGCCTGAAACAACGTCACACTAGTTAGCAGTAATAATAAGAGAGGTGCTAGGAAGGTATACATTACCTTCATATCGTGAGGACAGAGTCTGGCAGGTGTACACTACACTAAGTCACAAGTAAGTCTGGTCCAGGCGGCCTAACAGCTCTCCCTTATATAACTCTAGGCTCTACCGCGGTCTCCTGAGCCTCGCCTCCAGCTACCTAAACAGATTGTTTAATTGACTGAACAGGTAGTGTGTATGTCTGCGTTCTGAGAGTTATATTTAGTTGAATATTTGAGGATTTTAATGTGGTTTCAGCTAGATGATTTCTGATATTGGGAACCTGAAGTTTGACAAAGCTTTGTTGTCTTTCTGATGAAGTTACGCTCAATTTCTGTTATTATTTTTTTATTTTTTTTTTAAATCTTACCAATAGTGTAATATGCATACTGTTATTCTTACATTAAAATTTGACATTAAGAAAAATAACACGTGGTTGAACTTATTATTATGACCAACACAAAACCCTGCTTATAGTTAAGAATGTTATCAGTCATGGTAACATTACTCCTGATATGAAAGTTAAGACACATGTGCAACATCTGCATATCTTTACTGTAGACGTTTCGCCATCCAGTGGCTTTATCAATACAGATTCTAGGACATAATAGGAAGACAGTAGAACTATATACAAAAAATGAGGTAATCAGTCTCTCGGCCTTGGAGTTAGTGTTCACAGCATCGTGGTGGAGGAGAATCTGGAGCAAAGACAAGAAGACTGATGGTTATATAGGCGTCAGTGGATAGGGACGGGCAGCAGACGAGGGCAAAGTCACTGGTAGGCGGGATTCCCCAGTGGAAGTAGGTCCTTCCCAAAGAGATGGGTTAGTTGCAGCAGCCGTGAAGAAGGTCTTGTAGATGTCCTCTGAACCAAGATTCCATGATGTTGCAGTGTCTGACATGTTCACAGACTCACTTGTTACATATACATATATGTACAAAAGTCGAAACATAATATCACATGACATATGATTGAACAATATGTCCACAGGATTTATAACAGTGCCCTACATGCCCGGTAACATACATAAGAATATAAAAATACTGAACCAATTTGGTAAGCCCCCTCGCTTCCCCATGACCACCCATGATAAAACACATCTACATTTAAAGCTTTGCCTCATCAAGAGAGTTTTCTATTTGAAATTTATGCCAGGAATACACTCATCTCCTCCCCCCTCATCTGGCTGAGACCAATCCCATTCAACCATTTCACCATTAATTCTCGCAACTTACGCATATTCATACCTCTATACTGAACTGGAAATTCTATTTCCCATCCCCTTTCATACACGACCTCATTCCTACACTTTGTTTTATAAAAATGTCCAGCTAAAGCCCGTATTCGCTCTTCCCCCTCCACCTCCCTCATAGCCCACGATATAATAACATAATCAACTACCGCATGACCGCCCTTCTCACACTATCACCCACTCCCTCTATATCCAAACTCAATGCTTTCAATACCATTAACCTACCTCCTCCAACCATATCCAAGACCCTACGAAACCATAGACGTACCTTTGCGATACCCTCACAAAAATACACCACATGATATGCAGTCTCCGCCTCCCCACACAAAACACAACATGTGGACTGCACAACGCTCATCTGATACAAACGTACTTTAGTGGGTAATATCCCATGTAAAAGCCTATACATAGTTTCCTGCTCTCTTGACTTTAAACGTAACTTACGAAATGTACCCAGATAACTGCCCAATTATATAAAGGAAAGACACTCTCCTGGTCCATCACCTCATTACCCCTCACAGTCCTCCCCAAAACTCGGACCAACACTTTTCCCGGTATACTAAGCCTCAATAAAAATCTCAACATACACACACACTCCTCCAATTCCCTACCCCCCACCACTGCCGCACATCATCCATAACCTCACTCACCCTTACACCCCGATCCCCACCCAACTGTATATAGCTATGTTTCACATACATACTTTTCAGTCTACTACACAGTGGAATTAATCCTAATCCTCCCCTCCCCAATGATGTTGTCACAACTGTCTGCTTAAGCTAATGATAACCACATACCCAAATAAAATGCATTACCTTCTTTTGGACCAACCTCGTATCATTCTTTATCAACGGATAAACCACTGCCACATGCCAAATCTAGGGTAAATGATTGTATTTATAACTGTGACCCTCTGATGGATCGTCAGCCCACTCGTCCGTATTACCCCCAATCTCCTTAATACTCCTTGCACAACTCTTATGGAGTTGGCCTCTCTAGCTTCCTGCCTTGCCCTTCTGTATAATACTCCACATACTTTAATTTGATCTACTACCTGCCAACCATACTTTTGTCCCAAGTTCCCTCCCACCCATGAACCAACCTCTAACAATTTAGACTTAACTGCATTAAGACGCATACTTGTTGCCCCACTAAATATCTCAACGATTCGACCTACATTCCTTAATCCCTCCTCTCCTCCAACTAAAACCATCGTATCGTCAACATACCCAACTGTACCAGGAGCACCCCACTGATGTACCCCCCCTTCATCTACCCCAACATTAATCATCCTATATAAAGGATCTTGTAGACATGTGAATAGGATCTGAGACATAGGGCATCCCTGTCTCAGTCCTCTACCCATACTAACTACTTTTCCCATACGTCCATTCATTTGCACCTGTAGTACTACGCCTTTGTATAATGTTTCCACCCATCGGACAATTTCCTCGCCTAAACCCATATGTTGAGAAATAGGTTTACCAACTAAGATATTATTTATAATTTTTATATATAGAGAACACTTAGCTGATAAAAGACAGCAAATCGTCTACACAGACGCCCCTGCAGACGAGGTCTTGAATTGTTGTCATGATCATCTCTCAACGGGCTGGAATAGATCATATTATGTAAACAATAATTTACCCCTAGGGGGTGTTATGTCAGCATATTTCATTCACTGATGGCTGACAAACTTACTTGTGTGGACTCAAAAGTCCGCACCTAACTGCCGAGTATAGGTTGATTACAAACTCCTTGTGACTCAAGAGTTGCGCAGTCCCAGTACTACAAAAAATTCGTAACCTACCTTGCTCTTGTAGCGTGAGCTATGGTGTTCTTCACACCTTCAACAGGTATCGGTGACTTGATAGAAGCTGAAGTGTCCTTGGATATCCACGTTTTCCATAGTCTAGGAATACGCACACTGGTACACTATGTTCCACAAGATTTGTCTTTATTGTTCACAATCTTATCACTAAAGAAGCTGATCACACTTCTCTGTAAGTGTTTATTGTGTTTTGTGAGACACTTTGCTCACACTAACGCACAGATCAGTGTTCTTTGTTGGTTATCCTGGCGTCAGTGTCACTCTCAGTAGAGTCAAAAGTAATCTCAAGATGCCACAATGCCCCACACCGTCACTGCCCCCAGCACAAAGGAAAAGCTGACATAGTACTTTTGCTTCCTTGCCACTTCCTCGATGAAGCAAAGCAGAATGTTTGATTCTTGCTGTCTTAAGCATAGACAACAATGTCCACTATCTTTACTATGGTAATAAAGTTGGAGCAGGATTTTCCTTAATTGTCCTGCTAAGGTAAGAGATGTGCTGTCTCTTATTAAAATACACTCTGCAACACTGGACCGCACGGAGCGGCGGTCGCTTGACGCTTGACCACAGGTCGTATACTGGTACTGCATCTGGGATCAATTACTCGCTGTAGCAGTAAACAAGATATTTTCCCCTTCTGATAGGGCTGGGCCCCTCAGGGCTGAAAGGGGCTGAAGGGGCTGAAGGGGGCTGAAGGGGACTGATACCCCCTTCCTGGAGAAAATTTCTCCACACCATACGCCTCATTATCAGCCACAACGTCTCTTTCTCTACACAGTCATAAGCAGCCTTACAATCTATGAAATCCTTGATTCTCCCATGTCCACTGAGTGACCGCTCCGGCACACCCATTTGTCCCTTATCTATAACTGCCCCAATAACACTAAATAACCTATTACTTAAAACCCTTGCAAACAATTTGTAATCATCGCACATTAAAGATAAACCTCTATAATCCAGGATGCTATTCTGCACTTTCCTCTTAAGAATCATGACAACGACCCCTGTTCGTTGCGTCGTACCCATGCATCCTTTTACTCTCATTTCATTTAACAAATGCACCAAGCATTCCTTCAAGACCTCCCAGTTAATTAAAATAAAAATAATTTGGAATTTCATCAATCCCTGGTGTCTTCCTTACACTCATCCCCTGTAACACCTTCAAAACCTCATCTTCACTTATGGGCCCCTCTGTCTCCACCCTGTCTTCTGGTTCCAGGATATGTGATATCCCTTCCTCCTTAATATGCAAGTCCCCCATCTTCCTATTGCCTCCTCTCATATATATCTCAAACCATTCATCCGCAAAACCACTCATACCTTCAGTCGTTACTAACCGCTGTCCCACCGTGTACCCACCCACGTCCTGATGTACCTCTAATTTTAACATATTCATTATATTTTGCCGGAACAAGCTGATGGCTTATCACCCGATAAAACATCTTCCAACCCACCCCATAATCTTTTACCATCAAACCTTGCATTCTGCATCTCTAGCAGTTGCATCTTTATACCCTTGATCTCTGAAACCGGATATACTCCACGACAACCTTCATAACACTGCTTTAGCTGCCCCTCCAAATACCTCTGTAATCCATATTCCATTGTCCAACCTCCCTTCCTTTCCTCATATAAAAACTACGGATCCCCGGTTTAGCACATTGCTCCCATCACAGTTATATATCATCTCCTAGCTTTCCTTTATTCCATTCATTTTTCCACCATTCTGCAAAACTAAGTCCACCCTCCATATCCTCTAACAAGCTCACATTTAGTTTCCAAAACTCATAAAACGTTTTGGCAATTTACCCCAGCCCACGTCCACAACCACCCCTCTATGATCCGAAAATACTACATTTACAGTTTCCATATTATTAACTTGTATCCCAGGAGATGCATAAATGCTGTCCAAGCGTGCCGCATAACCGTTCTTTACATAAGTATGCTCCATAACCCACTCCTCCCCACTAACTACATCCACTAATCCGACTCCCCCTAATACGTCCAGTAGGACTCCAAACGCACATCCAGTACCCCACGG